AACTTTAATGTTGTCTTTAGAAAGTAGTTTGAAGTCTTAAGTTTTAAGTCCAGATACTGTTTAGATTGATAGATAGATTGATAGATAGATTGCGTGCATGTGATGCGATTTTTGAATTACTAAGATTAAAATGGGTAATGATACCCATTAAACATTATTAGAAAGGCATTTTAGCATTCAATATGCCTTAATTCGAATTTTTGTAAATTATATTTTTATTTACACATGGTTAAAATGTTTACTTGTGGTAACCATGACCATCTACAAAATATTATAGACCTATTTGAACTATGGTCACTGCATTGTAATGTTCATTTTCATGAGGGACTGCCAGTAACAGGCTATTGCACCAATAAAATGTATCCTTTTTATTCTGACAGTGTATGATTTATATAAAAATTTGTTACAGAATAGCATATTAGTATGAATTTTTAACATTCAATTTAAAACAATTCAATTGCACAAACTATGTACGCAACAATGTGTTTATTGTGAAATAGCTGCTCAAACATATATTTTTCAAAGCATTGTTCGAATCACGATAACAATTTATAGATCAGTGGTTGGAATGTATTGTTGTCTCTGCGATTGATTGGTTCTGACTTGCAGCATTCGCGTGTGTTCAGTTCAGATAAGCAGGGAATTGGTTCTACTACACAATTATTCACTAACATAGGTAGTCCAATTCAATGCATATTGTAAGCATTAGATTTCTTGTCAAATAAACAAAATTACTGGTAGAAAAAAACCTATAGTATCGATATTTAGTATCGATATATCGATACTTCGTATCGATCTGCCCATCACTAGTAGTGTCTGTCCAATTTGAAGAATTATCGTCCAGAGTTTGCTTTCAGGGCCGGGTAGATCGAACAGACTGAAGTTCAGCAGAGTGCTAACTCGTTTAAATAATGGCTCAGCAATCACTGAGAAAGTGGGTGTGCAGTCTGACACTGAGATTAGTACAACACAAACACACACTCACACACAAATGTATTGAAGTCAACATGATATTCTGAAACTGATTTCAGAGTGACGCTACACTCTTAGAAGAAAAGGTTCTATCAGCGCTACGTATTTGGAACCCCTAAAAGGTTCTATACACTCTAAAAAAAGGGTTCCTCTGGGTTCTACATAGAACCCTGGGGTTCCATACTTGGCCAATAGAACCTTTTACCAAAAAAAATGGTTCTATATAGAACCATTTTGGAGTTCCATATATGAAGCGGGGGATGGAACCATTTCTGGTTCTAAATAGAACCATTTCTTCTAAGAGTATAAATATTCAATGAGAACAAAATAGGGTGTGGAACTAGATTTTATTCACCCAGAATGCATTGCATGGACAACACAGTATGTTTGGGGTGTGGAGCCTTCTCGCCAGCAACACAGCAAGTAGCATTTTCTTTAAGATAACATGCGCTGATATTTGTTTGTGTGTTATTTGTAGGTTATGTGTATTCTGTGGAATGCAATTATACATACACATATTTCACAGTTGGACAGTCCATGCTGTCCATTAAGTCTTTAAAGGTCATGTTCTACTGTCTGAGGGAAGCTATTATTAGAACATGAGGCATTACTGATTTATCCATTAAAGTCAACAAGGACTCAAAATTGACCCTATAGACATCCCATCCATGACTGTGCAGGACTCTATGGAGGCTTGTTTTTGTCAGGGAATAACAAAATAATACAGGTAATTGCGACTTTTTATCTCACAATTCAGACTTTATTTCTTGCAAAAAATATATCATTAATATATATATATATATATATATATATATATATATATATATATTTAAGTTATAAACTGAATTGTGAGAAATAAAGTCAGAATTCTCAGTCTATATCTTGCAGTTATTACTTATTTTATTTTGTTATTTTTTGACAAAAACAAGCCTCCATAGAGTCCTGCACAGTCAGACATGGATGGGATGTGTATTAGGGTCAATTTTGAGTCCATGTTGACTTTAATGGATAAATCAGTAATGCCTCCAGTTCTAATAATAGCTTCCCTCAGACAGTTAAACATGTCATTTAAAGGGACACTCCACCCATTTGCATTAAGCTTTCCATTGTTAGAAACCCAGTTATACTATTGAATGGTCGTGCAACACTCTCTCATTTTCCCCTGAGACGAGAGAAATCCGCTATTTAGCTTTTTCACTTCCTCCTACAATGGTTTCGTCATTTTACGTCATTATAGGAGGAAGTGTAAGAGCACTAGATTTCACCCTTTCAAACCCGCCCATAGGGGGTTGGACCTGATGCGCTAACAGACCAATCACAGATCAGTGCCAGTGTGTCTGATTTCGCCGGTAGAAACTTTTTGAAAATAAGGACGAAGGTACTGAATACACAGACGGATGGGGATTACACATAGTGTCGGCCATCTTTGTTTGGAAGCTAAGCTAGCAGGCTCTTGTTCTGTGGAGAAAGCTGAGTAGTAGGGGTTACCGTCCTCTTTTTCCCGGACATGTCCGGCCGTCGATTCAGCTTTTGCTTTCTGCAGTCGCCATTCATTGTTTACATGCACAGCTTTTGTTTCAATCTAACCGAATTCGTTCCGATTGGTGAATCTGAATGTAGTGTTTACATGAACGCTAAACAAGTGATCGGTTGATGTGTGTTTTAACATTGCTAAGGAAATTCGTGAGAGATACGAGACCGGTGCGTCTCACAGGTGTCGCTCATCGGTAATCACGCCACCGGCCTCGCGCCGTTCTCCCGCGGCCGTCACTCGTCCCGCTCGCCACAGTAAACATGATGAACGGCGACTGTAGAACGCAAAAGCCCAATCCCGGACATTTTGGGCGATCTTTCGGGCAGACTCATCACGGAGACTCACTAGTAGCCTAGACTTGTTGTTTAACTACTGCGCTCTGTTACCGGTAGGCGTGGCCTCCTAGGGCTGCGAAGCAAGTGCATTCTGGGAGTTGTTGTCTTTCATCCACATAAGTCAAAAATACATTTCTCAGTCGAGAAAGCTCCAAATTCAAAAATAATTTTACATTTATTCTACATAAATTACCCATTTTAAATACACATTCATCTTCCCAGAGGTGGAGTATCCCTTTAAAGACTTAATGGACAGCATGTATTGTCCAACTGTGAAATATGTGCTCTGTATAATTGCATTCCACTTAACCTACAAATAAAACTTTCAATGCAAAGTTCTGGCGCAGGCTGATCGCTCCTTAACTCAGTCTGCTTACAATCACATCATTCTCTATAGACCATTTCACAAGATGTAAACAACACTGGTCTAGAAACACTTCCTGTTTCAGTTTGTAACTGTTTTCTTTATTTCACATGTAAAGAAAACATCTTAAAGATGTTTGTTTAACTTTTTGATTCAGTTTAAATGTTCTGTTGGTTGTATTTTATCCCAGCTTTTATGTAGTGTGAAAAAACTGAAACAGGAAGTGCTTCTGGACCAGTGTTGTTTACATCTTGTGAAATGGTCTATAAGGCGTGGCTGATTTGTTCCTGCTGTATCACTAGCCAATAAGCTCGCTGCTCAATAGGGTTGCCAACTTTCTGATTTGGAAATAAGGAACGACGGAAGAAATGCATGTTGGCGTGTTATCTCTACGCATTTTGAGCTATCCACGTGTATTCGTGTATGTCTATGCCATTAACGTCCGCGTCATTCTGCGTGTCTGTACACGCAGTCAAATCTCCAGTCATAAATGCCATTAACCCCAGTGACGGTTAGGTTTAGGGACGGGGTTGAGGTAAGTCATATATTTATATAACGTTAAGTCAACGGCGTTCATAAACACGCTGAAAGGCGATTATGCGTCTTGATAGCACGCCAAAAATGGAAATACGAATTGGCGTGGCATACACACGCTACTTCATGAGATCAGTCTGCAATTGGATAGTCGCAGAGACCTACAACCAATCAGAGCAATGCAGTAAGTCAACTACTTTGCATAGCACAGTTGTCAACTACAGAACTTACTTATTTTAGAAGTAAAATAGCGGGTGTTGCTTCTTTTACTTGGACCTCCATGAGTGTGACCAAAGGAGAAACCACAACGACCACAGGCTTTTCATTACGTCCCATCTTCTTAGCGACCATCAGAGCCAGCTGATAAGTTACACTTTTCCCGAATCATGAAAGGAAGGACGGCAAAAATATCTTTCCGATCGACAAATGCCTTGATTGCAGTTTTCTGTTTGTCTATTAAAATTAATGCGCTGTCGAGGAACGAAAGGCGTCGCTATGACGACCGGGTACTATTTGTGGCGGTACTGTCTACAATGGAAAAGGCGAGTCGAGTTGAGCAGAACTGGTAATGGAGAAGCGGCCACCTTTACTGTTCCTCCTGATCCAAAACAACAAGCTCGTGCTGTTCACACCATAACTACTGTCACGTGGAAGAGGTGGAAAACCGTGACGTTACACTCAGAGCGGTTCGTGACTCGAATTTATTCAACACTCAACGCTGAAATGAATCTGCAGCTGTCAGGTGGTACAGGTCAGTGCTCTTTAAGACATGAGGTCGTTTAACGCCGTCTCTCTTGTCTCGTGACGCTTTGCAGACTCTGCTGTGTGCGTTCATGTGTTCTGAAGGAGGCGTGGCCTTTCTGAAGGGAGGGTGGGATCTTATGCTTTCAAAGCTAGCTTGCTACTGCTAGCCTCTCTGAAATTGCCTACCCTACCTTTAATGAAATACGATATTGTTTAGTTGGACTCGTACTCAAGCCCTTTTGGACTCGGACTCTAACCCAGCACTAGAACTGGTCCTAAAATATAAGTAAAAGATGCGATTCAATGCCTGGCCCTTTGACATCCAGTTAGCCATTCCTTCAACTCACCCACAACACAAGCATTCAAGTGAGCACAAACACACTCAGTATTAAAGCGGCTGAATCTTTAAAGAAGCCATAAAACATCAGCCAGTGCCGAATAACCCAGTCCCAGACTGAGCTGCCACCCAACAGGTGGCCCTACACACACATACACACACCAGTTCCACCTGTCTCACCTGTATTTCATGCTACTGTGCCGTCCGAACGCCTCCTTCATGTGGGCGTGGCCTTGAGGCAGTGGCCGTGTTTTGACTGAGCTCTGGGGGGGGTAGTTGCCGTTTCCTCCCTGTCCTCCTCCCCCACTACTGCCCCCTGGTGGAGGGGCAGTTCGCAGGCCACACAGCCGGTCCTCGCTGCGGCTCTTCAGATTGTGCTCCGTACAAGCAAATGAGACCTGCATCCTGACCAGCTCTCACACACTGTGTGTTAGAGTTTATCAGTTTGAATCACTTTAAAATATGTTTGTGTTAGTCTCACAGTACGTGCCAGATAGATAGATAGATAGATAGATAGATAGATAGATAGATAGATAGATAGATAGATAGATAGATAGATAGATAGATAGATAGATAGATAAAGTCAGGTCTTGCACCTGCTGGCACAAACTTGCAGCTGTTGCGCGGTAGTCGCACGTCCAAACGCAACCCTAACGTGCGTGTTAATGTCGCAGGGCAAAAAGTCACGACTGGCTGCTGTCCAGGCCTTTAATGTGCTGATGCGTGCACAGTCTGACTTTGCATTCTCTCACTGCACTTCCCCAATACCTGGATCGACGCGACTTGAAGACGCTCCTCTCCGTGTTGAGGCATTCCTCCGCAGAATCCGGGTGGTCTCTCTCTGTGCGAGGCGGGGGACCTCGTCAAAATGCGGAACCACCCATTCACGCCGGCTTTCCAACGACTGGATGCGCAACAGCCGGTGCCGCTTTCCCAAATGGCAGTAAAGCCCAGCTACGCGAAGGGCGAATGCAGAAACGCACGCTTGTGTTCACGCGCGCCTGCCCATCTCCTCGTCTAGAGTCGTTGGACCACAAATTCACGCACTATAGTGACGGTCACTATCTGACACACAGCGCGCCCTCACGCGCTCGACACAAGGCAGCGAATGTCGCGCTGTTTTTCTGACGCGTAATTATTGCCATGGTGATCATCGAACGCGATCAAAAGAGAGTTTGACAGCTCCGCGGTGTCCAAATTCCATCGTCTTACTAAAATAGCCGATATGTCACATCATGAAGGCGTTAGAACGGCGGAATGCTGTCGATGGAGATGTGAGGGGAATTGAGCATCCGTTCAGAGCAACAGAGCCATCAAACGCGAGACTGCCAACTCAGAACCAAATGAAACCCTCATTGAACCCCCACCCTCTCTCTCTCTCTCTCTCTCTCTCTCTCTCTCTCTCTCTCTCTCTCGCACGCGCGCGCGCGCTCGCGGATTTCCATTGTGATTAATGTGTGAATTGAGCAGGACCACTGCGGAATAATCATGTTATTGTTTGGGTCACACACACACACACTCAATATTTTACATTCCCCGGTTGCTTAAATATAGCCTTTGTAGCAGCAAGATTTAAAAAACAATACTAAAATGATGCATAAAATAAAAGGTTTCAAATATTATAAAACATAATGAATATGTGGGGGGGAAACGAACAAAGATTTACACATCTGAAGTCAACCTATATTTCACTAATCAGGCCCATATTACATTTTAGCAACTACATCAGTTTCTTTTAACCAAAAATTGTCCAAAATTGATTAAAAAACTACAAAAAAAAAAACATGTTTTGAAAGAAATTTCCTTTTTATAAGAGTCCACAGACACCCTGCAGTACATTTCATGAATATTAGAATATTATCAAAAGAGGTCATCACTTTTATCCTTTGAGAAAGCTCACAACTTTCACAACTTCAATCGCATAAGCCATGAGAAAGAGAGAGCAAGGAAAATATTCAAGTCACAATGAAACAGAAGTAGCGATAGGCCTTAAGTATTTTCATATACAATGCAACATGTTCCTATCGACATCTTTGTTGATCCTGGAATAATGTTCCGAATCCAATCAACCAATTAGATTTGAGGTACAATTTTACAGTTTATGTCAAGTTTAGAGTTACAGCCATGGTTAGATGCTTCTACATCAGTGTTATTCACCATCATTTCTGATTTTAGGGGTAATTTAGGGTTAGGTTTAGGGGTAAGGACAGGATTAAACTACATTTTCAGACAGGAATGTTGCTCCAGGATCAACAAAATATGCTGATCCAAGAACATGTCATATTTTGCAAAATCACTGTGACATCCGAGTGAGGGATTATTGAAAAAGAAAACAATGTAGGGCTGGGATTTGGCTTTGTGCATCAGTTGTTGATTGGATGTTGAGATGTGGGCGTGGCACTCAAAAGTGGAGGAAGATGAACACATTTAAATGAATTCCTGACTGTAAAAAATAATCCCGTAATAAAATGGTAAACTACTGGCAGCTGTGGTTGCCGCATCATACCGTAAAAATACGGTGTGTTACTGTTTTTGAAATAACAGCTAAATACCATATTGTCCGCCACAGTATTAAAGTTTAATTTAACAGCTATATATTCTAACACCGTGTCCTAACTATACGCGACACCGTGACCATAGCTGTCAACATTGAAAATAAGGGAGATTTCCCGGAATCCATCGCCAAAATAAGGGATTTTTTTTTTTTACATTATTAAGAGCATAAGAAAAAAATGAAAAAAAAAATATATATATATTTTATTCCTATGTTATGCTATGACCTCTGTAGTGGACACCAGGACTCGATTGTTTAAAAAAAATGACATGAAAATATATATAGACAAAAATAATGGAAATTTTTGACATAAACATGTTTGTTTTTTTTCCGCTTTTTTGTGTTTTTTTTTTTTTTTTTGTGTTTTTACAGGATTATTTTTTACAGTGTGCGTCTGTTGTTTAAAGGGAAGCAGTGGCGGCTGGTGAAAAATATTGGAGGGGGGGCTGAATAAGAGGGGGGTTTCTGGGGGTCCCCCCCAGAAAATTTTGAATTTAGTAGATGTGATTTCCTGCATTCTGGTGCATTTTAGGCCTTAGGCCATGCCCTTACCTATACCAATAAAATAACTTAAACCAGTCAATACCAATGGTCAAATAATACAATAATAATAATAACAGTTTGACAGTTAATGATAATGAACAAGTTGCATGTTTATTATGCTCTGTGTGCTGAGAGAAAAAGTGCAAACGCATAATATTGATAAATTATAATATAGGTAATACAAAAAATAATAGGTAATACAACAATCTAGTTTAATCAATCCCCAGCTGTAGACTACATATTTTTGACAAATTGACAATTGGATAATGGATAACAATGTGTTGATACTAGAGAAAGAGAGAGAGAGAAAAGGCTCTGAAAGAGAGGGTGGGACAACATTCTTGAGGGTAACACCCAAGTATGAGAAGAAAGTTGATTTTAACTAAGTTTGAAACACAGTAATCTAGCTCAGAACTTAAAAACATCAAAAAACAAAGCAAACACACAGGTATTAATATTCCTATAACTATTTTAATATCAAATGTGTGTGAAACAGTGTTTATGTGTGTGTGAGTGAGTGAGTGAGTGACAGAGACAGACAGGTCAATTCCCACGACTAACTTTACATTATTTCCACTCGACGTCACTGGCGCTGCCATTCTGCTCTCATCTGAGGTAAAAAAATGTCCCGTGGTGCGCGTGCACGCTGCACTCCCCTAATCTGATACTGTGGGCGATATTTTCAGCGCCCCCAAACCATAAAACTTGACGACGCTGATTGGCAAAATATAAACTTTTTTGCATAGCAACCGGGGAACCATTGGCTTAAATTCCAGCACTGTGGGGCTGAGCAAACTGGCGCCCCGAGAAGACAGCCTATTGGCTATACTACTACACCAACATGATAAATGTAACGAAAGTGAATACAAATATAATTCTGGTGAGTTCAAAACACTTTTCAAAGTAAAACCATTAATAGCATATAACTAACACAGATTATTTTTCAAAATGATAAATTATAATATATATTAAAAAAACAGACAGACAGGTCGGAGGGAGGGCGGCGCCCCAGCGCCCTCTATGGGCGAGCCGCCCCTGAAGGGAAGGTCCAGTTGTGACATTTTGATTAAACATAACAAGGTCCGAACATTATGAAAATGAATTGTTCACATTAAAGTTTATAACGTGCTTATAAAATATACAGTGTGAATTTTGATTTCATACTGTCTTTAAGGTGGCGTGATGATGAAAACCAGGGCAAATATAACTCACACACACTTTGCTTCAAACAGGTTGAACCACACTGCAATAACCTCTCAATAAACCCTTAACACAAATATGAATAATAGAAATGTGCTCTCGGTTTCCCTCAAAACGGGCCAGGGGTGGTTTAGTTTTCAGAGCCAGATGGTTGTGCTTCTGTTGCTGTTGAACATCTGCACCGAAACCAGATTAAAACCTCAAAATGATTCACACCAAAGCATCCCGAATAATGCCTTACCCTGAATCAATGTGAAACTTATAAGGAAACATGTAAGGATTTCTTCATTCGGAGTCATGGGAGTTCTTCCTCAACTGACTCTTCAGATGGATCAACATTTGTACACCGTCATGCAGCTGAAGCATGTTTTTTCAAAGCTGTTTCAGTGCACACAGAGACTGCCAGCCAATCAGAGCGAGGCAGTGCAGAGGAGGCAGCCAGTGACAGCGAAGCCGTGCTGTGTAGCGAACACGGGGGAAAAGAACAAATCTGCTCTCATCAGAGAACATCTGCATGCTGAGACACACAGAGTGTTACTGTCACTCAATGCATGTGCTTTCTGATAATGCAAATGAATCCATCGAGAATCCTCTTTTATCATTCACTGACTATAAATGTCTCTAACCGGACCAGTATTGCAGGAACTGTCCGTGGTTCTGAAATGCTTCAGTAATGCCGGATCAGCAAGAATAACAATCACTCTGAAATTAAAGGCAGATTTTATAGGGCATCAGACTAATTAGCATGTATATACACTCACCTAAAGGATTTTTCAATTTCTCATTAATGCAATCATGCATCTAATCAACCAATCACATGGCAGTTGCTTCAATGTAGGGGTCAAGACAATCTCCTGAACTCCTGAAGCTAAGTACATCCCCCTTTATTCTCATCTAAATATATTACTTTTTTTTCTCATTATCACCATTATGCTCCATGATGGATTCTCTTAAATTTCTCAATCCTGAAAATCATCTGGAGACTATTTTAATCAGCTCGTGCAACAAATACTATCATCACTACTGAACATTACATAATTGTAATAAGAAACCATTTAGATTCTTTACGATGATGAGAATTGTGGGGTGATGATGCACTGACACTTTATTTCGATGGTCCACTTTTGACATTCAACATTGCAAATATGTCAACTAGCAGTGTATTGGACTGTTTGCTTAAGATCTGCTAACACTTTATTTTAAAGCTCCTCAATAGACATTATACTGCCTATAAGTACCTTTGCAAGTGCATGTCATCTAATTCTAACCCAAACCCTATCAATCTACTAACACGAGAGTTACTAGTTGCTTATAGTTTCTAGATTTGTTATCACAACATATTTTCTTTTGTCAAATCAACTTTATAATAATTTATTTAGTTGAGATAACTTATTATTTTGAGTTTCTGATGATTAAATTAATCTCCTTCATTGTATTAACTCGCTTTTTCCAGTTCAATCAACTTACAATTTTAAGGCAATCCAGATTACTTACTTTTTTAAGTTAAACCAACAATATTTTTTACAGTGTAGTAATCACAACATTTTTTCTTTTGTAAAATCAACTTAAATAATTTATTTAGTTCAGATAACATACAATTTTGAGTTTCTGATGATTAAATTAAACTCCTTCATTGTATTAACTCACTTTTTCCAGTTCAATCAACTTAAAATTTTAAGGCAATCCAGATTACTTACTTTTTTAAGTTAAACCAACAATATTTTTTACAGTGTAGTAATCACAACATTTTTTCTTTTGTAAAATCAACTTAAATAATTTATTTAGTTCAGATAACATACAATTTTGAGTTTCTGATGATTAAATCAATCTCCTTCATTGTATTAACTCACTTTTTCCAGTTCAATGAACTTAAATTTTTTAAGGCAACCAGGTTACTTACTTTTTTAAGTTAAACCTACAATATTTTTTTACAGTGTACAATGTCTAAAATGGACAATCGAAGTAAAGTGTGACCGAAAATAATAAAACAGGCCTCATTTTCTTCATGCTAAATATTATTACCTTTTTTATTTCTTATTCTGAGGTGAAA